AAAGAGAAAGTAACATGTTTTATATTCATTATTTGGAATATAATCGAAGGTTTTCGTGCAGCTGTTTTACGTACCAACACAACGAGCAGCATTAGATTTGCGGAGAATTGCAGCAAGGCCAAGATCACCAATTTTGACTTCCCCTTGGTTGCCATTGATGAAAATGTTATCACACTTGAGATCTCTGTGGATCACAGGAGGATCATGGCTGTGCAGATAGAGAAGCCCTTCCAAAATCTGCCTGCACCAATGCTTAATAGCTCTGATGTTAACCCTTCTGTGTTTAAGCCTGTACCTGCTCACACAATGAATAAGAGCATATCCATATTATAACCAAAAAACAAGAAGCAGAAGCTAAAATCACCTGAAAAAAGCATTGAATGGAATACTAATAAAAAAAGGGACAAGGCTTACTGTCTTAGAGTCCCAGAGGTAAACATCTCAGTGACGAAGTTAATGTGCCTGTTGGCAGTATCAACCCAGGAAGTAAAGAACTTCATGATGTTCTTGTGTTTCAGTGTCTTGAGGAGATGAATTTCACTACATAACCTCTCAAGATCTTCTGGATTCTGCAAAAAGTCGTAAAGCTTTACTTGATTCCATGCTACTTCTATCCCTTGATACTCATCAAATGCTCTATAGCTGCAACAAATGAATATGGTCTCATATTAAAAAAGAAAAAAACTCGTTTTGATGAAAGCCCATAACTGTTTCACTTAAACAATAAAAGGAGAACATCCCATTGAAGTTAACTTGGAAAATCCTTAGGGGCATGCTGGAAACGAAGAGGTTAAGGATAGGATGCATACACTGTCTTGGAAGCTCCTTTGCCAAGAATTTCGTTGTACTGCCAAACATGGAATTCAAATACCGGAATCAAAACAAAGAACTTGGAATATAAAGAACAAAAAAGAAAAAAATTGGAAGGGTAAAATAGAAGGTATATACTCTTCCATATCTTCCAGTAGGATCAACTTCCACAAACTCACAGTACTCAACCTCAACACCTGAACCACCATTCATGCTTTGGCACCTATTATCAGTTCTTTTCTTTGCTTATATTTGTTTGCACTACGCAGTCTTTTACTTGCTCTTCTGTGAGCCGGAGAGATAAAGAACTCGAGAAAAGAGAAAAAAAAAAGTTAGCAGTTTTGTCAATGCATATTGAAGGAATATAGGAAAAGAAACTGTGATAACTAATTATTTGGTTTTCTGTGGAGGTAAGAGAGAGAGCTTAGGAAGTTCCATCAAAAGGACAAAGTTATTGCCAAGTGCCAACTACTACCCTACACAACAAGGCAAAGATTTCACAAGGTTGGAGAGTGATACCTCAGTCATACCTCTAATCTAACACCACGCTTCCCTGACAAAAACTGACAAAACACACACTCTCTCTCCTCTTGCCTCCTCTTTTTACATCTCATCACGAGCTGTAAAACCATTATCACTCTCTCCTTGCAACAGCTAGCACTACATGGACCAACCATAGTTTTAGGCTTTCTTATTTAACAAACATTATATGTGGTGTTCTAGCCACTGAGGGGAATTTGGGTCCTGTGCATTTATGGGTAGGTTAGCCTTTGCATCATTGAAGTTTATAATAAAAAGACTTTCTAGTTAGGAATTTGGGTCTTGTTTGTTATTGTTACTATTTTGTAATTTTAATTTACTTGGTTTGGTTTTGGTCACGTCCTCAGTGTTACTTCTCTATGGGGGGTTTCCTTTTTGAGTTATTCCACTGTGGAAAGACAAGAAAGCTACAAAGCTTGGGAGTTAGGAGTTGGAAGTGTTAGGACCACTGTTGTGGAGATAATTGGGTAAGAAGTCAGGTGGATCCCTCTCAGAGACACAAAAGGGTACCAAATGCTATTCAATTCTAGCTAGGCCTACGCTTCAAGTTGATTGTGCTTGTTTGGATTTTCGGTGGATAATTGCTTTTCAGCCTCAATTTTTATTCTATTTTATTTTTGTGTTATTTAGTACACGTTTGGTTTAAAAATTAGCACAATTAATTTTAAATCGTTCAATTTCTTTACATGTATGAATAGATTAATTTGAGTTTTATATTTTTATTGTACCGTATCTTACCTTGCAAAGTGTAAAAATTAATTTTCTAATTGTAAAACAAATGTCTTTAATTATCAAATTTAATATGTATTTTTTTTAAGAAAAAGAAAGTGAGAATAAAATCAATTAAAATTAAGTGTCAAACCTAAGACACGACACATTTAAAAATCTGTTACAAAGGTTGAATTTATCATTCCAATCATTCAACTAACTTGATAATTATGTATGCGTGTGATTTAATAGTAGAAATTTGTTATATTTTAAATTTTATATTATATATTAAAATAAAGTAGTATAAAGAAGTATTACTCAATATTTTCTATTATACGAAATTTTATAAACTTAATTAACTTAATAAAAACTTTTAATTTAACAGTTGAATTGATAAAATTCAAGTTTTGTAAAAAAAAAATTATTAAAGGGATTTTTTTGTCAAACTTGACATAATTCACTGTAATTTAACACTATATTTGCAATTATAAAACTCGTTATTAAAAAAAAGTATTATTTCTTCCTCTCAGATTATGTTTAGAAAAAGAATTTTCAGAATATGGTGTGCAAAGCACCTTAATTTGATAAGCTTCCATCAGGATACCAACCAAAGAAAGTGACCTAAAACATTCAAGTGCTTTCTGGCAAGTCTATGCACATGCTTGGTGCCCCAAACAGGTTTTAGTGCCAACCATCATGTATAGAGGCCGGTGCCAGATAAGGCAAAATGACGGCTTAAGATAGTAGCTTAAGACCAGAACTTCCATCATTTGTGACAGCTAACAAGCAATTTGTGCCTTTAGATATATTTTGATGAAATAAAAAACAATGAAGTATTTTTACTACTTTACAGTGAAAATTAGAAAATATTTTATAAAGTAATCTTCACGTTATCACGTAGAAAGCTTGGCGACGTCGATAAGAAAATATGGTTTTATAGAATTGTACTTTTGTATATCAATCCACGGCAGTGATATTAGTCTCACTATCTATTCGCTAGTTTTTAATTAGCTTGCATGTTCCATGTGAAAACTGAAAGCTTACTTAATCTACCGTACACGGTCTATTAAACTCTTTTAATTATATATTTTTTATGAAAACCATTAATCAATGGTCTTAGGTATTAGTTAATTTCTTTTAAAAAATTATTAGAAAATATAACAATATACTTACTTCAATCATTTTTAATACAGTTTTATTATTTAATAAATCGTTAAGACACAAAACCCAATATTTATACAGTAAACTCAAATTACCCCATATATAGCTACTTACAGCTTTTGCCTCTCAACTTGGTAGGTCTAGGTTCTTCATCTTTCCTTTATGTTGTTAATGTTTTAGCTCTAAATATTTGTTTGACATACTTAAAAATGTGATAAAAAGATAAAGAAATGACTTTTTTTAATCATATTTGAAGTATAAATATATCTAATTTATTTATTTTTCATAAAAGCTTGTCTGCATGTGGAGTTAATGTGCACTAATTTAGTAATGGGCAAAGATAATCCTCACACGAAGATGTCTGATCTAGCCTTGTGGAACTAACATCTTTCAAGAAAAAAGAAAAAAGGTTTCTAGTGTTGTCCTTTCTTAATCAATTGTATGAGGTGATTCATTTATCATGGAAGATTTATAACTCTAAAGGTTAGGACAAAAAAAGACAACAGAAATGCGTGTAATTTGAGAAAGAAGAATTATTATAATCAAAGTATCTAATCCTGCAGTTGTATTTGTCTCTATTATTTATATACGCACTAATATTTGAACTTAGATTATATTGCAGAGTGATCCAATACGGTTTTTCCAGATGCCACTATGTCCAGGACAAGAGATAAAACCAAAAGAATAAAAATCACGGTTTATATGTCCGATTTCTTCAAATAGCACACTTTACATATATATTTTATATAACAATCGAATCTGTTTTTTTATCTTATAAAAATTTGTGTTTGCCTAGGTACATTTTTGTCACTCGGCTTAAAGACAAAATTCAATACTGCTGTCATGTCTGCATGTGACATCTTCACATCTTTTACTGTGATTTTTTTCCGGAAGAACTCGAAAGGCTGAATTTGAATTTCTTTTGTCATGCTGCCAAGGTTTTTGTTGACTTGAATTGTTAGATCAGTACTGTTACTTTCACCGTTCGGATCAAAATTTCTTTTTCTTTAATCTTTAGCTGTAATAATTTATCTAGACGCAAGTTTTGCACGTAAGCAAAACAAAACTTATTCATCTCCTTGCAGGTGCATCAACTTGCATGAGATTATTCTAATTTGTAATCTCAAATTCGGGTATCAATTTAAAGATTAGGAGGAGATGATACATATAGTTTAGAAGAAAAAAAGAAGGAAAAAACCACAACTAATCCAATTTCAATGTCAAAAACAAGTACGCAGAAAAAAAAAATTACATCTTATCCAAAGCCTGAACAGTTTTCATTTAGTCATAAATTATAATTATAAAAAATACATTAATTTTAATTTATCGTTTCTTAAAAAAATTCCAAGGAAAAGGAAAAATATTATTTTTGTTGTTCTTTTTTTTTTTTTTCAAATTCTTAAAGATAAAAAAACAAGGTAGTTTGGGATTCGTAGGCATAACTTTCAGCCTTGAAGCTAAACTTTAGAGAATCTTAAACTATCAAGGAAAATGTTATAAATAAACTCATGTCATTCAGATTTTCAAAATTGTGAAAATCATATTACCAACACACTTATGCTTGTGAATAATAAAATCAGGAAGACCTTTTGCAAGGACTGAGGTAAAACATGAGCGAGGAAAATTCTTGCGTAGATTGGTTGGCTAAGCATGGTTCAAGTTCAACGACCAACACACTTGGCTTTTGTTTCTTTTGATTTCTAGTGTATCAAAAAGATGCATCTTCTGTTTTTTTTTTCACCAAACAAATAAATAAATAAATTTTTCAGAAGACATTTTTCATTATAACGTTTCCTCCAAAGAAGTAAGTTTCCATAGAAACTGATAAATGGATATTAATGTTCACAAAAGTAGTTAATGGGGGAGTAACTAAATATTGCCAGAAATCAGTAAAAGAACTTGATTTCGCTATTTTTGTTCCTATTCCCAACTCGGTCTCGGGCTAATTTATAAACTTGTTCAGACTTCAGATTCAAACAAATGATCATCATCTATTTCTTGAGCTAAGAAAATATGGATTTGTCAATGTACAAGCCAACTGAAGAGGGGGAGAAAGAGATCAACTATTTTCAGTTTCATCCCAGCATAGATGCAACCCAGAGTGGGATCTTCAACCTGCACATATGTTTCTTATATGGTATCCTTCCAGAATTGCTTTCTCCATAATCTTTTCCTGGTTAAAATAAAAAAGACATTTTGGTTTTCTGATTGCAATGCTGTAGAGAAGAATTTAGAAACAAGAAAGGAGAGCAAAGCTTGATTGAATAAAAGTTTGAGCATTTTTGTTCTTCATGAGTGCAGTAGGTTAAATTTATCTTTAAAATCAAATTCAAAGATCACAAACACCGTAAAATGTAAATGGATACATATATAGTAGAATATTACTGTGTTCTTTTGCTTCCTTTTTCATTCGAAATGTGGAAGTAATCAATGAATTTACCTGGATTATAGTTGTGATTATCCCAGGTCCACCCTGCAGTACTACCTTAAGTGAGAAAATCTTTTAAAAAGTAAAATAATTGCAGCACCGGTAGAAATTTACCACCTGAAATTGCTTCGTTGTCCATGACATATCCTTCCACGTTTTAGAATGGGCTGATTGCCAATCTGTTGGAACCTGAATACTATCCACATGTTGCAAAAGCCTCAAGCTATCTGCAACAGCATTTAGAACATAATGAAAACAAAAAGGAGGGAGAATCTGAAATCTTGCATAAGTTTGTATAGGATAAATATTAAAAGCATGATGTTTTGTACAGAATTGTTCATGATTACGAGGCTTGACACTTTGAACTGACATACGATGCCGTTATCACATGACCAAAATGGTAGATAACCCAGTACAACCCATGCAATTAGCATGTAAAAGAGAGTAAAAATAGTGCCTTCAAGAGAAAAAATAATTATAACTTATTAACATAAAATATATTTCCTAGACCGGTGGTGAGTGGATGACAGTTTAAAGGTATCAGAACCGACACTCAGTCCTTGCTTCATATCCAGGAGCAATTTCAGAAGTTAAGACATCTTTCACGATGCTTCATTAGCCACTCTGTCAAGATAAATACCAACATTTCTAAAAGAACTATTGTTCAACATGCTATTCTTAAGCATTTGAATTCCATCCTCAACAATATTAAATAAATGAAAGCTTTGAAAAGACAAAAGAATACTCGTGATGAATGCCTCCTCCCAGATTTCATGTTCTGACCACGATGGAGCAACTTCTTGAAATGGAATTCCTTCACTCCTGCATATCCTGCACATGATGCAAATCAGTGCTCAATCAAACAACTTGTTAGTGCTTCTTAGTCTCTATCCTATACAAATATGACACTGGCCTTATTTCTTTTTATTCCTTTTGTGCTTCCTTCCTGCATCCATCCTCCTAACAAAATTATCCTAGTTTCATTTTACTCCAGCGTCATTTCTATGAAGCCAAGACAATTTCCCAATATTAGAGAAAGCAAGGCTCCCCAATGACCAAACTGGCTTTAAGAATTAAATTTATAACCGTGATGCAGTAGAGCTAAAAGGGAAAAAAAAAAATCCATAATTTAGATTGCTTAGGCAGAGAATGGGAAAATTTAAAGTTCATCCACATTTAAAAAATCAGGACAAGACAATATACCATCAGTAGAATATTCAAACACAACAAAAACAGAAAGGCAATGCTTTATATCTTATTGATAGAAATATGAGATACAGCCCTAATTTTATACTAATCTCAGAAACAAATTGTTGAACTATAGTATGTTGCACATATTATAAATTCTACTAAATTTCTACACAACGGCACAATTTCCTTTCAATCAAAGAAAATGTAGCACCAAAAATTTAGAAGGTTGGCAATCAAATCATACTCTAGCACTACTTGACGTATCGTTCCCGGAAGAACACCATCACTGATAGGAGCTGTCCGTACTTCGAAGGAGTATTTATTTCCATAATCACGCAGAGCCTTCCCAGCATCTGAATCCTAATATGAAACGAACACTAGAAGTTGTACATGCTTGTCTACCACAACCACAAGTAAAATCCATGATGCATGTCTTTTGCAGTCATAGAATGCAGTGAGAATCTAATGATCATGAAAACTTAAAATTTTAAATAGAACACAAACCAAATAAAGACTTGAAACTCAACAAGTAGTCGTGTTACTTGAGTACTGTTTATTCATCTATATAACAAACAGAATAGGAATTTATTCTGAAAATTGCCATACTGCAAAACAAATAGAGGATAAACATAGGATTTCAATAAATAGGTATGCTAGTCCCTCGTAGCCAACAATCACTGCAAGTTAAAGCAAACTCATTGCATTAGGTTTAGCATTAGAAAACTAAAATTTAAGAAGTCTCCTATTAGAACATTGAAGTATGAGCAATCCAACTCCAACCACAGTTAGCAACAGCTTTAAGTTCAAAATTGATGGGGCAGATGCAAAAGCATGGTTACTAATAAAAAGTGGAATGAAGAATTCTAGCGTAAGATACACTAGTAAAAATAGTGAGCTAAGAGATCAAATAAGCTCACCTTGCAGCAAACAACAAAAAAATTTGTCACACAACCTTCAAGTATCTGATCCCCATTATTAGACAGCAAAAGTTCTGTCACTGAGGGAGGCCTGAGCCTTTCCAGAGTCTTCCTAATCCTGTATTGCAGACAAAATTTCTAACTAATAATTTGAAAGAACACCAGCACAACAAGCAGAAAGAAAATGACTAACATTTAATGAGTGAAACTTGAAGATAGATGCAAGAGTGCATGAGTGCAGGTAGTACGAGGGGACACAGCGTTTAGATCCTAAAAGTTATAACTTGTATTATGGAACCAATATATAAATTCCCACAAGAATGCATTTTTTTCCTCCATTCTTTGATCCCCCTCCATTCCCCAAAAAAGGCTTAAAGCAAAAAACTAGATTGCAATATTTGGGTCAGAAAAAATATACAATTTTCAATTCCAAACATAACATAAATTGTTTATATATATTTTTTAGTTTCTACTGGAGTTTATAGATATTAATAATGAAATTTTAAAAAAAAAGTAGATCATCCTTAGTTGAATACGGGAGTTGTAGGCTCTAAAGATAAATGTTATGCAGTAAAAATCTTCTCTTGGTTTCAATCTAGCGTGGGTATATATTATTTAATCTATAACCATGTGACAGACATGCTAAATAAATTCTGGGAAATTAGATAGCTAACTCACTTTTAAAAAATTAAATCTGTGAGGCCAAATCATTAAGCAACAATGCTGATTTTAAATAGAACCGAGAGTATCTTTAGACAAGACAACATTATATAAATATTTTCTAATAGTTCTTTTGTTTGGGTTGGCAAAATATCTCTGATGTCTCAATATCCTGTTATTTTCATTCCCTAATATCCTGTTATTTTTCTCACATAGGATTTAAGGAAAATGCATGGAAGAGTTTAATAACACTTCCAACAAATGGCATACACTGACCTTACCCAATCTGAATATTTTGCAGCTGCAACATGCCTCCCGTAGCCCACCACAGCCAAATGAGCACCATTTCCCCCAATACCAAATGTAGGAGGAACATAACTCTCAATATGCACATGCACATCAAGAATTCTCCTCGTTCTTTCCTCGCTAACAGTCTCACATGCATTTAATTCCTCCAAATTACCACTAACAAGTGTTGTAATGGCCAGCTCCTCACAATCACTCCTCTCTTTCAATGCAGTCGGCAAGACTTTGCACATTGAATCATTAACAAGCATCTTAACTGTGGGATGCCATACCGGCAAGGTGGCTGAAGACGGCAGTGAAATTGCAGAATTATTAGACTTAAATAGAAGTTGCGGCGCCAAATTTGATAGAATTTGTATAGATTCTGTAAGTCTTCTCATATGTCTTTGCCAAAATAACAAGCACAAAGCATTGTTGTGAGTCCGCGATGTTGTGTAAGCACCTAGACCAAAAGTTAGCTAAATAAGTCTTAAAATAAATGAGGAAAGGCACACAAATACGTTAACTTATTTTTCTAGATTGTTACTCATTTTGAATGTACCTGGATGAGTTTCAAGGAAGACTTTGACAGGAGGGGCATCCAAGTTGTGTGAAAGAATGCCATTACTGAAGAGAAACCTTGAGCCTGACATTTGTTTAGCTTTCAGACAATTCGAGGAGAACTAAAACCAAATAGATGTCTAACAATCTTCCAAGGCAACAAAAATCCATGTGCACTGCAAATAGTTGTTAAGTGTATATCACGTGAGATTCTTGTTCTAATACTGTAAGCAAATTCAAAAGACAAAGTAGCTACATCGTACGATTGTCTTATTTTTTTAGAGAGATCAGGGCAGAAAGACAAGGCGAGAAACCTGAACCCTAATAAATGATGTAGTTATGCCATACTTCAATTTATATAAAAAGAACGAAAATTTTCAGAAAAAATTATGGATACATCATCCTCGAGTTCATAAACAGAATACTTATTTACTCCACATCCTATTTTTGTTGTTAAGAGAAAAGGAGGGAAAGTAGTTTCAACATTGACACGTAAGTATTTGACTGGGTTTCTGGCACGGATCAACAATGGTCCATGTTACAAGAATAAGATACATGTTAAAACATATGACTAAACCTTATCATTAAACAAGGTAGGAGACAGAAGAAATAAGGTAGCAAAAACCCAGAAAGAGCACAGAGCAAATAGTGAAAGAGATGAAGTTTACCGAGACACAGAACGCAAGCAGAGAACAACACGCTGCCGTTTTGGGCGTTACTTTAATCATTCACATCAGCGGAAAGGAGACAGTAAACGGAGGTTTATATATATATAAGCCTTGAATGGAGTGTGGGTAATCCCAACGCAGGCCTATTCATCACGTTGTATACCAAATAAATCACACAGAAATGTTTTATTTTTATGTGCAAAATCAATTTTAGTATATTTTTAAGATGTGTTTTGACAAAAAAGAAATATGCATATCTTAAAAAAGTGAAAAATAAAATTAATTGTATATAATATTGCATCCGCTATCAATTTTTAATTGTTATAAAAGAAGCGGTGAATGTCCTTTCGAAGTCATGGATTATAATTGTAACAAGTATGCTTCTTACGCACAATTATGGTCATGTAACACAATGCTTCAATTTGCCATTGTTCAAAATAGCATCAGAAGTGGCTATTTTGGCCATAAACTAATAAGACTTGGTTTATGCTGTGTTACGATGGGGCTTCAGATGTTTCTTTAAAACTGTAGAGCTTCAAATTGGCAATTAAACAGGGAACAAAAATGTTCAAATACTTAGAACACTTTGACCGAGCACGGAAATTTGAAGTGTTACATTCTGTTTCGTATGGTTGATATTGCAGGGTATTTATTTAATCATCCCTTATGGCTTATAAGAGTTGCCTTTACTGATTTTTATTATAATATCAAATGTCACAAGATTAATTACAATTTCGCATCACCTCTTCCTTTCTCCTCCTCTTATTTTACAGCTAGTGATTTGTGAACACAAAATTTTTGTCTCTGAAGATTATTCTAGTTTGCTGAAAGTGATTTCGACTCAATCAGTTGCTAAGGAAATTATTTAGATCCCAAGCGGTCTGGTTGCTACGGTATGCATGTCAATGTCAACTATTCTATTATTGTCAAGAGACATTAAGACTTTAACGTAGAGCCTGTCACATAATTGAACAAGAAGGGCTATTTTCTGTAACCTAATATGCCGTCACTCATTTTTTGATTGACTAGGTTTTTGTCTGTGCTTTCACGGGTCAACTTCAACAAGGGAAATAAAGGGAACAAATTACCATCTCAACAGCTTCAAATAGACGGCTCAACAATAAAAATTAAAAAAAAAAAAAATTTCCTCTTTCCTTTCCCCAGACAGGTTTCATGGATGGTTAATAACTTGTGCAAAAACCGGAAGCATTCAAGAAATAAGAAAAATGGATTTTTGAACGAGAACATAGTAAATGCTTCAAAAATAAAGACCAAGAGTCATTCTATGTTGGTGTTACAAAGGTTAAAAGAAGAAAAAGAAAGAAAATAATGCACTCTATGGTATGGACATCATAAATATTTTTATGTACAATACGAGCCTCTTCTCATTTATGCATTGTGCCCATGGCCTTCAATTTTTGGATGGCAAAGAAGGTGAATGTGATTCCACTAGAATTGACCAGAGGACGTGCACGTCTTTATAGGGACAAGATTTCACATCTTCATATAGAATGTAAATTCCTCTTCCTGAAATGTTGGGGAAAAAAAATGTGAAAAAACATGTGGGAGTGGAACGAAGGTAGCAAGGAGGAGAAAGTATATGCATGTCTAAGATGGAAGAAGTGGAAGTGAAAGAGAACTATGGTATTTGATTTATTGGTTCAAGAATAGAAGCTTTATGCTACATATTTAATGTGAAAAACAGGACACAAGCATTGTTAGATTAAAACTAGAATGCACAAAGAGAAAACAATGAGAATGCAGCTAAGGACAGCCTCATGGAACGTACTCTTTTTTTGAGTTGAATTCAACCTGAACCACAGCTTCTTCAGTGGAGAGAGGAGGGATTGCAGCAACCCCATTTGGTGAAGAAGTGGGTGTGGCTCATGCAAATGAAACTGGAGGGAAATAACAAGATGGGTAAGAGAGATAAAGGGGAAACATCTAGGCTTTGCTTAGACAAGGGTGAAGATTTTGCAATGTCATTGTTTATATTTTGGGTCATTTTTAAATCCGTAGTAGGCCAGTGCCAGTCATAAATTAACACTTGTTGTTGGTACAGTGTCCTTTTCAAACATTTTCTCCCTTATAGAAGAAGAAGCCACTCCACCAATCAGCTGTGCATCTCACACCTTGATCACCACAAAATAGAAGCCTCTCTTAGTACCCAATTTACCTTTCCTAATGGCTTATTCTTGAAGATACACATTTCTATGTTTTCGCCATCATTTAGAACATAACTTGGTGGTAAAAGGCACACGTTGAGAAGGTTTCTCATTTTGACATATAGGTAGCCCTCTTGCATTTCAAGCAAGTACATGCCTCCTTTTTTAGGATCTTCCACAAGGCTTTGTTTCATATCAGTCCACCTGTTTCACTAGGGTGCCTTGTAAGAGTGAAAATTTCTGAATTGTCTTGCTGACTCATATTTGACACGTCAGTACTATTATGAATTTGAAAATTGGGGTTACTTCTTCATATGGGGAAGAAAGGTGTTGATAATTGAACTTTGGGATGGTGAATAAATACAGGAGATAAATTACATGAGTATTTCAGAAATTAGAACATGTCATAAACCTTAATGGCTTACATGTGACCAACTAATAAATGTCTATTAAGAGGTTTAGGTTAGTCAAGTCATTTTACCTTGATATTAGTAAAATTATCAAAATTTATATAAATGCCCTACCTATTCAACACAATCTCACCAAACAGGCATTGTTGGACAAAATTTGAAGAAATCACTGCAGAAAGAAGCATTCCATCTAAATTGAAACGCTAATTCTTTAATAATTTAAATAAAAGGGGGTAAAAATGCATGTACATTTAAAACACTTGCAAACACAGTGTTGGATTTCAAAACTCAATTAAATTACAAGGATTTTAGTTATTTGTCATCTGGTCCACTATATACGAAGCATGGCTTATTTATTTTTTAATGTTTTTTAAAAAACAAATTCTTAAAATAATATTTTTTAAAAACAATTTTTCTGTCTAAAGTCTTTTTTACCACATCAAGACCTGTTTTGCATACTGTATAGACGAAATATATATATATATTTTTTAAATGCTATTTTATCTTTAGCAGAGACGAAAACGTGTCAACATCTGATGAGTTTCGCCTACTGCAGAGACGAAACTCAATGAATGGTGCATGTGTCATGATCTAGATCAATTTACGAAAGTAGTTAAAAAAAAAGAAAAATTTTATATTTTAATATTTAATTAAAATTTATTAAAAATAGAAAATTATAAAATTTAAGAATAAAAAAATTATATAATTTTTAATTAATTTAATTAACAACTACAAATATATTAAAAATATATATTGAAATTATACTATGTATATTGTATGACACAAAAAAGAATACCCGCTAATAAAATTATAAATTTATAATTTTTTTTATTCAAACTAATTTGTAAGTTAGGTGTGATATTTAAAAATATTAATAATTTATATAATAAATATGTATTTTTTATAATTTTTATAGATATTTAAACTAAGATTAACAAATTCTTAACACTATATTTTTTTAATATATTTATAATTATTAATTAATTTAATTAAAAATTATCTAAATTTTAATAATTTATTCTTAAATTAAATATTATGATTTTTTATTTTAATATATTTTAATTAAATATTATATTTTTTTCTAATACATTTCCATTAAATTCCAATACTGCCATTATAAATTTATAATTTTATTAGCAGATATTCTTTTTTGCGTCATACATTATACATAGTGTAATTTCAATATATATTTTTAATATATTTGTAGTTGTTAATTAAGTTAATTAAAAATTATATAATTTTTTTATTCTTAAATTTTATAATTTTCTATTTTTAATAAATTTTAATTAAATATTAAAATATAAATTTTTTTTAACTACTTTCGTAAATTGATACAGATCATGACACATGGTATCATTCATTGAGTTTCATCTCTGCAGTAGGCGAAACTCACCAGATGTTGACACGTGGCGCACTCTGATAGTTTCGTCTCTATTAAAGACGAAATAACATTTAAAAAAATATATATATATTTCGTCCATACAATATGCGAAACATGTCTTGACGTGGCAAAAAAAACCTCAAATAGAAATTTGTTTTTAAAAAATATTATTTTAAGAATTTATTTTTTAAAAAACATTAAAAAAATAAATAAGCCTACGAAGCATAGCATAGTGTCAAATAACTTAAAAATAAAAAGGCATGACTTTGTTTTTCATCCGTGATAAAAATAAAGGCTAATACAAAATTTAAAGTTGTAGAAGAAATAAAGAATAAAAATATATGTGAAAAAAAGAACAGAGAATAATGATTATAAGTTGAAAGAAACATGTCAATAACCTCCCATGGCATAGATAAACCTTCTTGAATATTAAACCAAATGTCAAAAAAAGTCTCGTGATTTATATCCCACTACAAATTATACTTTCATGCCTTTAGTTTCTTTCAACTGTATATTTATCTTTTAAATAGCAAAATTATTGTGGTTATCATGATATTATTAGTTTGCCAAATAGGATTCTTTGTCGAAGAAGGATTAAATTATAAAATAGCTAAGAAAACGGGAGTTTATGAATTTAAGCAATGTCTCAGGTATGAAATTTTAGTTTTCTTTTCATTTTTTCGTTATTTTAGTTCAGATCACACATATATTCTATCAAAAGTTTAGCTGCATAAAACTAGTATAGACAATAAAATTTGTTTTTCTTTAAATAGTTGACATAGTTGTATTTATTAAAATTCAAACTCGAGATTAAATTTTTTTCATTATTGATATACATAATATATATTTTATTTTAATTTCTAAAATTATTTTTTAAATAAAAACTAAAATAAAAATATGATATATATATATATATATATATATATTAGGATTATAATAAAAAAATATTTACATATAAATTTATAACAAAAAGACATAACGAAGGAATTATTTTAAAAATATTCTTCATTTAAAAACTTGTTTATAAATATTAAATAAAAAATCAAATTCTATATAGAAATTAAAATGGTATTTAAATTGAGTATAAAAATGGGCCCAATACATAACC